GTGGTGGCATCGGAGAAGGGCGACGCGGCGGGGGGGAGCGGCGGCATGTTTGGTGTCGTAAAGGCGGTGGGCGGCAGCGTAGCGCCCGATGCGGGGGCCGAGTGAGGGCGTTTGGTTGGAGTCTAGAGCAATGGCGAGGCAGGGCGGCGGCGGGCACGTGGTCCGTGCCGGTATCATCACCATCGTCTACCCCGACCTACATACCTGACGTGTGACAAACAACCCTCGCCCGGGAGTTCCAACGAGGTGGTGGTGCTTGCTGGTCGCACCAGGGAGGGATGGAGGAGTACAATGAGAGCGGTATTCTTCTGCTTCTTCTTCTTCTCGTTGCTCGGCGCGCCAATAATAGCGCCAACATTCCGCTGGGGAGGTGGGTGCGTGAGTGGTGAGGTGGTGTGTAGCTGGCTGTCGACTGCCGACAGGGCAAGGAACATGGCGGAGTCGCAGCAGCGGACCATAGACTGGCGAGCTGGCTGGCTGGGGTCCCCGCGTGAGGAAGACTGAACACAACAATAGCATAGTACAAATATGAATGATTTTTTAACGATTTTTTTGCCTGTCGATTGAATATTTGTCGACTTTTTAGACCTTTTCGTTTTTAGTGTTTTATTTGGGCGTGAGTATCCGGTATGCTTGCGGCAGCCACGGCGGCGTCCAACCACCGACCATGTAACCATGTGGAAGCAATTTCCGTCGAGGTTTGGTTTGCTTGTTGTACAATTGCGCTTTTGTCTCTGCTAGGGACAAGGAACGGACTGGAAATTGCTTGTGTTTGGTTGATGGGAAAGAAACGAGATTTGCACCGCAGCAGCGACATAGCGGAGACATATTTTGATACGCGACACAAACGCTAGCTGTAAGGACCGGCAACTTCCTTTCCGGGAGTTTCCCACAAATGGTCCACCTATTTGACATCATTCGTCTGTGTGATACCTGACCTGGTGATACATATATATATATTTTTTACTGCGATGGCTGTCAGCTACGTCAGGGTTGCACGTTCTCTATTTGTTTCTACCTCTGACGGCTTGGGAATTCTTACGGATGGGTGCCCTCGCACATACCGCGCGATGAGAGGCCCGCGGGGAGGGTTTGGCAAGTACGTCGGTGTAGTGGTCTTCCATGCACACAAACGCCCAGGCGCGGTGTGCGCGGAAGTGGTGGGAAGCGTGTCATGGCACTTCAAAGTCTTCGCAAAGCTATATCTCTTTGACTCCCGCCCCCCACGGTGCCATCGCGTCCATGAGCGCGCGGCTAGCTGTTGCGGGTGTACTGAGAGTCAAGAATGCCGGAGTAGAGTGAGTGGAGATGGCAAGCACGTTGGCTCTGTTTCAACTTACGTTATTTGGCGGAAGGGTGTTTTGAGGTGTGAGGGAGAGAGGGTACGCAGGGCTTCGGCGACAGCGGGAGCACAGTAGCTCCAGATCCTACGGGAGGCGGGAGGACGGGGATTGGGCCGACAGAACAAGCTCGGGGTGTTCGCATGAGCACTTTCACTGGTCAACCACGTGCCCTCTGGCTGCTTGTGTGTGATGTGTCATTTTCCTACATGGTGTCGTTGATTTTTGTTTTTGGCTGTGCGAGCGGGGCGGGAGAGAATCAACGATTAAAAAAAAAACGGTGGGGGAAAGAGGAGGGGGAGTACACGGTGGTAGTGGAAGTGTTATAGGGTTGGGGAGGGCGGGATTGTCGTATCCGTGCGAGGTAGGTTTCTCGCCTCTCATGAACGCGTGATCCCGCTATTTTCGGGATATTTTTCGATGATTTGTTGGACTGCCGTTGCATGGGTGCCACGCATAGATAGCTAGCCACGTGCCTGCCGGCGTCATATGGTGTCCAGGCAACTTGAAAACGTTGCAGGTTTGTTGTATTCCGAGATTATATCACGATTGAGCTTTTGGTGAATAGCAGCACGGGGCGGCGCGTTTCTTTCCTGTTCGTGGCCACACACAACACTTGCTTGTTTTTCTGTTTCGCTTTCGTGCGGTGGTGGTACCGTGTGTTCGAATGAGGGTGGTCGGGCGGGTTGGTGTGTCCCCTGTAAAGGAAGCGGGTGGTAGACGTCGCGAGGAGTGGTGGTGTGCGCCGTACCAGTCATGGAGTGGTTGTTGTTTGGGGAGGGTGTGTCCCGATCGAGCTACCTGTCTCTCTCCCTCGTCCGCGAGAGCGCACCCATCTCCTTCTTGTTGTTCAGTTGAAGCTGCTGCTGCTTCACTTTGTTGGTGTGCCGTTTTCTCTGGTGCAATCTGCTTATCGCCTTGAGCTCTGTGGCTGGCTGTAGTCCGTCGTGTAACTTGTCGTCGTCGCTGTGCACGTTGTGTGTGTGTGAGTCCGCGCGTGTATGGCTCATCCCGAGCGGCTGCCTTCTGCAGAATGCAGTACCCAGAGGCATGGCAGTAGTGTGTAGTGTCGGCTCTGATGACAAAGCGCCAATTGTTCTTTTTTTTCGTGTTTCGGGCGAGAGGAAGACTGGTTTTTGTGGTGGACATTTTTGACGGATTTGTTCGTTTGTACCGCACGCACGCAAGCACATGTTAGTTAATTTTTCATACCATTCTCGTAAACAATGATTTGATTGTTGGATCTTTTGCCATGCATGCGGTCCGAATGTCTCAGGCCCGGACGCTCTCTTTGTTTTTGGCTGATTGTTTCGGCGCGTCGAAACAGAACAGGTTCATAGTAGCCATCAGGTGCGGTGTTTTTCTTTCTATTTTTTGTTGCTGTCGCACTTTTTTGCTCCCTTGTCTGGACGGCGTCCCTTTCTTTCGTTGTCGCCGTATTATGCCCAACCGAAAGGTTTATTATTTTTTCGGCGTTTTTCGTTTTTTTTAACAGTGTGCCCTCTTTATTATTTCTATCCGTTCTTCTTGGTGCGGAGGAGAGACAAGAGAGGGAAAGAATATACCAAGGAGCGGGGATAAGATCTGATGGCGGTGCGCAGCTTGTTGCCGCGATGGTTGTTGGCGACGGCAAGACTACTTTGTGTGCATAATGGTAGCCTGTTCCCGTCGAGGGCGGGAGGGGTACGGGGTCGGGGTTGGTCGGCATAGTATTTGTTGTGTAGATGGGAGGTAGCTAGACAGCAGAGTGTTTTTCATATTTATATATATATATATATGGGCATGTATGTATATTTCTCTGGTTATTTGGTTCTTGTTGCGAGCAGCGTGACGTCACCTACTACGTACGTGCGGGAACACAACCGACAGGTGGTCTACATGGATTGAACAGATGGGATTGGGTTTTTTTGTTGGAACACAGTAGCGCGCGACCGTCTTATTTGGCGCTTCGTTCCAGGAAACGGCACGGCAACAAACAACGTTCGTCGTTGACGTTCAGCTTTGATGTTCGTGTTGCCTATTTTCTGGCTGACGTTCCCCCCCCCCCAGTCAAGTCAGCAGGGAGGCAACACCATCACCTGTATTACTTCGGAAGAGATGAGAAGAGGCGCTAACTACTTGACGTGCTTGCGAATGTTGGTGGGTTAGCAGGTGTGTGTGCATAACATGGCTATCTATCGCGGGGGAGCGAGGCTGACGGTCTGGCAGGGTGTTGACTATCGCACTTCTGTGATGTGCCCCCGTGATGTGACGAAAGGTTGCAAGGTTCGTTTCAGGGGGGGGGGGGGG